GAGGAGGAGGAGGGAGAGGGAAGGAAGAGAGGAGAGGGAGAGAAGAGGGAAGGAAGAGAGGAGGAAGGTGAGAAGGAGAGGGATAGGGAGGAGAGGAGGAGGGTGAGAAGGATGAGAGGAGAGAGGGAGAGAAGAGGGAAGGAAGAGAGGAGGAAGGTGAGAAGGAGAGGGATAGGGAGGAGAGGAGGAGGGTGAGAAGGATGAGAGGAGAGGGAGAGGAGGAGGTGGGAGGAGAAGAGGAGGGTGAGAGGAGAGGGAAAGGGAGGAGGGAGAGGAGAGGAGAGGAGAGGAGAGGAGGAGAGGAGGAGAGGAGAGGAGAGGAGAGGAGAGGAGGAGGGGAGAGGGAAGGAAGGAGGAGAGGAGAGGGGGAGAGAAGGAAGAGAGGATAGGGAGGGGAGGGGAGGAGGAGAAGGAAGAGAGGAGAGGGAAGGCGGAAGGGAGGGAGAGAAGAGGGAAGGAAGGAGGGAGAGAAGGAGGGTAAGAGGGAAGGAAGAGAGGAGAGGGAGAGGAGATGGAAAGGGAGGAAAGGAGAGGGATAGAGAAGCAAAGACAAACGCAGACCCGAGACCGAATCAGAAACACACAAACAGAAAAAAAACTCCCCATCTACCACTATTCCACCCATCCATCCAAACATCCGAGTATGCAGACCGAACAAAAAAAAATAAATAAATAAAAAAAAAAGAGTAATGGCGATGAAAAACACGAAAAGCGCTAAAAATTCTTTCCTTTTGCGAATTCTCCACTGGCGGTTCGAGTAACACACGGTTGAGTAAGTTCTAGAAAGAGGGATAAGATTTCCAGTAATAATCGTGATAAGAATTGTTGATCTCATTCCAATTGATGAATATCATGCCAGGAACACTAAATGCAATAACAATGATAACAATGATAACAATATTAATAATAGAAATAATAACAATAATCAGACTGATAATAGCATCACTGTGATGGTATAAATAGTAGTAATAATAAGGACAATACTACTACTACAACTGATAATAATGATAATGATAATATAAATAATAATCAGAAAAATTACATTGATAATGAGGACGGTAATGATGATGATGATGCCGGTACCAATAATAATGATAACAACAACAACAATAGCAATAACAACAATGATATCAACAATAACAACAACAACGACAACACCAATAATACCAACAAAAGCGAAATTCCCACCAACGACCCGACGCCAATAAAAAGCAAAAAAACAGGCCTCCCTCCAGTCGAGTCGTTTGACTAAACTGTTTTCTTACTCTTCACTCTCTCACTCTTGCAATCTCACACTTATTACTGTTGACTCTTCACGCACTCGCGTCTATCCCCGTCGCTCACGCATCTACCGAGCGTATATCAGTGTCGTTCTGGGGTAAGGCTGGTCCCGCCCGATGGCATGGGACGCTGAGTCTATTTCTCCCACGCTGCACGGACTCTGTGTGTACTTTTGCTGTGGATCTTTTTTTTTCGCACTCAGGGACGCGTGTGTCCTCACGTGCACGGCTATATTGCCTAGTCATTTGCAGTCTAAGAGGTTGATTCTTACCTTGCGGGGAGGGGTGCGGTCGCTATGAGAAGGTGAGGTTTATGTATGGGCCCTTTTGGGTATGGTCGTTGTGGAAATATTAAAATCGTGATCTATATGTGCTGTATGTTGATGGGGAAGGATGTAGAAAGGGGGAGAGGGGGAGGAATGGAGAGAGGGAGATGGAAAAGGAGATGGAGAAGTAGAGGGAGAGGGAGAAGGCGAAAGCGAAGGCGAAGGAGGAGGAGGAGAGGCAGAAGAAGGAAAAGAATGGGAAGGAGAAAAAGAAGAAGAAGCAGGAGAGTCAATTTAAAAGCAGGAAAAGGAAAATAAATAAATTACCGACAACGCACAGACGACAAACACAACAACAACACACGCACACACACTACCAGAGAGACACACAGACACCACACGTACACACTCCCGGCGGAAGTTGCAAAGCGGAGTTGAGGGGTTGACAGACAGCATGCAATAGTTTAATTCTATGAAAGGACCCATTGTGGACGGCGCGAGCATTTCCTGTTGCGCAAAAGAAACAGCTACGGAATAGCTGGTGGCTATTTCGGGGCTGGGAACTTTTGAAAGCGATGAATTGACTTAAATTGTTCTGAAAGGTTTCGAACTACGGCTATGGCAATGGTGCTCCATAAAATGACTTTTTTTTTTTTCCTTTTTTCTTAGATGATTTTTGTTATTATCATTATTATTAGAAGGCGATGTTAAGTAGATGCCGCACCGAACAAGGCATCTTCATGAAGGCGAGCGCGCATTCATAAACACTGAGAAGAAATGTGTGTATATATATACCTTCATTTTCTTCATAGTTTAGCTTGAAACAAAACAATGACTGAAAAATAATAAGTCAAATACATTCCCAACATCGGCGACACTGCATGTGCGTGCACTAGCAAATAAAAGAGAGAAAAAAGAAAAAAAGAAAAAACAAATACAATGCTATCATCTTAC